TAATGTAATTCATTCATCTGCACTGTGCTGTGTCTGTAATTTGCCTTGCGGCTGTTGACTCGGCACATTAATAATAAAGAATTGTATTATTATTATTATTATTATTATTATTATTATTATTATTATTATTATTGTCATCATCACTTGCCATAGATCGAACGGCCATATTCTTCGGCAGAAGTATTAGTATTAGTAGTAGTAGTACTAGTAGCAGTAGTAGTAGTATCACTTCTAGTAGTAGAAGTAACTGACTTAGCCTTTGGGCTTTACACACAAATAAACAAGAACTGATTTCAATCATTTTTGTTGCTGCGCACCCAGCAGAAGTTTGCTTCCGTCAGTTTTTATCTTTTTTCCCTCATATTCCATATACTTATACAGATGCCTTAGAGAAATTAAGTCTACAATCTTACGTAAACGGAAACATCACCTTGATGCACTTTTTCTTGTTCAGGTCTTTCGTGGTCTTAAATCCTGCACTTCCGTTTTGGAAAACGTTAGCTTTCGTGTTCCTCCCAGCAATCTTAGGGACTTCTCACTGTCTGGTGTTTGTCCCTCTAAAAAACGCTGTCCTTCTGCTCGGTGCGCCTGTACTGCCTGTAAAGATCTCGACATATTTGCAGTCGGGGCCGTTTCTCTCGGTTATATTTAGAATGTAAATAAAAAAAGTTAGAATAAATTAATTTATTTATACATTGATCCATTGAAATTTGAATTGTTCTTCTATTTTATTACTGCCAAGGTTATTCCAAATCAGAAATACTAATTGTGTATACGTGGTAGAGTCATTAAGTTCGTGGAATGAGGTTCTATTGCATCATATTGCAAGGTATTCACATACACTTATGCAGATCCACATCGGCCCTCAAAATAGTTGCAGTTGGCCGCTATGCAAGTCTGCCAACGTTGAACTAGCTGTCGAAAACATTGCTGAGATACTCGTACGTGTATACTGGCAGTAAATTCCCGTACGACGCTTTGCGGCCATTTCACGAACTTGTTGTCTGTAGTAGTATTCTAATTCTCTCACTTCTCAATGATAGGTTTGATTTATGCTGATAGTTTTATTATAATTATTAATTGGGTTAGTTATTATTATTATTATTATTATTACTAACTTCTATATGTGTATGTGCCGGTCACGGTAGCCGAGCGGTCTAAGGCATGCACTGTCTTCGCTCGCTCGGAAGCCGGGATTGTGGGTTCGGAAGCCGGGATTGTGGTTTCGAATCCCACTCAAGGCATGGATGTTGGTGTGCGTTTTTTTGTGCTTGTGTACAGGTAGAGGTCTTGCGACGAGCTCATCACCCGCCCAAGGAGTCCTACCGAATGTGTAAGATCTAAAAAAAACCGAAGCGAACGGAGAAGTTCATGGAGGTAGGCCTAGGCCCACTGGGGCTGTAGCACCAAGGGGAAAAAAAATGTGTATGTACATGCA